AAATATTCTAAAATATGCTTTCAATGATTGTCATAAACAATCCTGGCCATTAATCCCTGCAGGCTGAATACTAAGCAGTAAGGCAGTGTACCAGATCTCTCTGATCCTACCAGATGCCTTATCACCAACTCAAGTGTGAAGGTGAAAGAAGGGCAAAAAGTTAAAAAGGAAAACTGTAAACGGAATGTACATCCTTCTTATAGAGGGCACTTGGAGGTTATGCTGACCTATAATACAAAACATGTCTACTGTTCCCCTTTAGTATTTAATGGAATATATGCTCCCTAAATGGAGCTTGAAACACATACCTTTGTGGTAATACATTCTTCAAATATTTTGAAGTAACAAAAGTGTATAACAATGTTTTTGGAGTCCTGAAATAATTCACACTAGTACTTGAATACACGTCACACTACAATGGCCCCATTCAGACAGATATACAAGGTACAGTATACCCTAGTCTAGATAACAGCTCATTCATGACAGTTCACAGAATTCTACACAATATTCCTGAACTAGCCGTAGCACAGTCCAACTATTACAGTATTTCATAAATTAATGCAATGTAATATTACAATGAATTCAATATCTATCTTCAACATAATTTCAGCAAACCCATTTAACATTCAATTGTAATAATTTGACTAAGTATATGACAATCATGGTAAGACTTCATATTAATTTTCAATTTTCAGCTTCATTAATTGTTAAATAAAATATTTAATTGTTGAATCTAACAGAACAAATTGTCCATACAAGTTAACACCCCCCTCCCCCTGCTCTCCTGCTTAGAAAAAACAAGCCTCACCCGCAGAAATTAAGAGAAACTAATAAAGATTGATTTTATGTGGTTGCTATGGTGACATTACTGCTGTGGGTCTATGGTATTAGGTTCCTGTAATTGATGGTCATCACTGCTAATTCCCTGGGAATCCTCAGGGACACTTTGTCCATGGCTTAGGCTAGGGATCGAAGGAAATTAAAATGGGGTCCAGACCATCTTAGGTTTCAGCAGCATCATATCCGATATCGAATTATCCAGAGAGTATTACATGTATACAACAGCACACTACACAGTTGGTAGTAGTATCTCATTCAGACATTATGTATATCTTATGCACTACCTTGTCAAAGGATGATCTTCCAAATAGGTATTACAGAACTTCAACATTATTTCATCTTGATTATCTTCAAATAGTCATCTGAGTTTTAATTAAATTGCAAATTGCTTTAAATTGATGTGAACATTTTATCAGAGAAAAAAAGTTGAAACCACCATAGTTGAAGATAATTGTGATGCCCCGGCCCATGTCAGTCTTCTTGAAAATGTATTTTTTTAAAGTAATAAGCTGTTTTAATAAGTCATCAAGCTTTTAATTTAGACAAGAGAGCATGTTATTTGATCAGAAATATGAAATTTATTATCCATTTCACTGTTTGCATCAGATAAACAATGACATGCTCCTTACATTAGCGTCATGACATCACCTATGACAGACATGCACACTATCAGTGATAAATCAAATAGAAGTGATAATCAAATAAGTTGTTGAGATGGTCCCTCATGGATCAAGATTACCGTGACTGTATGTGGTCAGTTACATAATATAGTAAATACAAAAGAAAAGATTATCAAACTCAAAAGATGTGCCACACTTGGATCTTAATCTGAACAAACACCTACAAACCACCCTTGGCTAAAAACAGAGAATTGAACACTGGCGACTTTGTGTCAATCATTAAGTGGTGATCAGCTCAGGTAGGCCCAATGTTTTTCAAGGTATGACAATTTTACCTATAGGCCATATACATTCCAACATGACCAGTCAAATTTGAACAGAATCAATGTTGACCAAGGGCCAGAGAATGTCATGCCCTGTGATGGTCAACACCTGCACATGGGTCTCTCACGTACCTGTACAGGTAGACGGGGCCTACAGGTGGAAGTGATCTGCTCCAGGAAGTGTAAGGGACATATGGTACTATAGTAGGCGTATAAAGCTCAACTTTAGGACAGGACTTGTCATGACCACACCATAAGTGACCTGGTCACAATTGATTCTTTGATGGAAGTTGTCTACAATATACAGTTTATGTATACCTGTATATCAAGGCGGAGACACTTTTTTTGTAAAAATAATTGATATTCTTAATTTACATGATTTATCAAATATCTTACCATGGTCAGTTCAAACCTGTATTGCATTATCATGGGTATATTTATTCTGATATTCTAAACTCAGTCCCAACACTAAATGATTGACTTTTACATAAATGTATTGAAATCTGAGGATCCCAAATTTATGTATACACAATTCTTACTTATTCAAACAACAGTTATTAGAAATGACGAGATTGAGCTTGCTGAAAAAATTATGGAAATAACTGAAATAGATCATGCTCACATGCATATGTTCATTTTAACATGTCATATTATTTACCTTCAAATTACTTTGTAATTACAAAAGACCAATAAATATTGAATTGAATTCTATATACATCCTTCGTCTCCATTTGTAGTGTACATTCATTTGAGCATAAATGTTGAAAATAATATTATGTTTGTAATACTGTCAGAAATGCATGTTCAAACTTTAAACAGTACACCTGCACACAGAAATACAAATAGACCTAGTGTATAAATCATAAACAATGCTGGAAGCAAATGTCACCCAATGTTTGTGGTGCATGACTGACAGACAAAATATTTGTGACCACCAGACTCCATATGACAGGTCCTTACAATTGCCACGGGCATAACAGTCAATGATGCATCACTGATATTGAACTTAAATAGCAATGTCCCATATATTTGTACAGTGGCACATCCAGTGGTGATTGTAATCCTTCCCCACTCAGGTAATACCCTGAGACCCATGATCTTATAGGTTACAATTGCTTATATAACACCTTTCTCATTCAGTTGCCCCTCAACCAGTTAACAACTCCTTCCCTCGGTTAATTACAATAATATACTTCAGCACTAACCACACAGAAGTAATTAATACCTTTCCCTCAGTCGTCAACTAACACACAATCTCACTAAAGACAATGAACACATCTTCCCTCAACAGACATCTAATACACCTCCCTTCAGACAACTAACTCACCTCCCCTCTTAGACAACTAACACAACTCCCTCTCAGACAATTAACAAATATTTCCCTCAGACAACTTACACAACTCCCTCTTGGACAACTAACATGTCTCCCTTCTCAGACAACTAACACTCCTCCCCCTCAGACAACAAACACATCTCCCTCAGGCCTCGGACAACTAACACTCCTCCCCCTCAGACAACAAACACTCCTCCCCCTCAGACAACAAACACATCTCCCTCAGGCCCCGGACAACTAACACTCATCCCCCTCAGACAACTAACACTCCTCATCACTCAGACAACTAACACACCTCATCACTCAGACAACTAACACACCTCCCCTCAGACAACTAACACTCCTCCCCCCTCAGACAACTAACACTCCCCCTCCTCAGACAACTAACACACCTCCCCCCTCAGACAACTAAAACTCTTATTTTCCTTTTGAGCTAACTAAAACTGTTCTCTATGCACTCAGCCACCTTTCACTATTTCTCCACAAATCACACTGCGCTGCCAATTTTTGTAACATGCATGTATTGATTGCTCAATATTATATTTTTATCATTTGTTTCAATATATCGGTTTAGTTATCAAACAACATGCTCTATGACATGTAAACATACAAAAGGCAGCTTCCAAAGCACGCAAATATTGACACTAACCTATGCTGATAGTAAGTTCATCATTTAATGAGCATTTAAAACATTTGTTAATTGAAATTTTACATAATAATTATATTCACGATGGAACTGACAATAGAAGACAGCAAGGAAACTATGAAGTAGATAGCTAGTGTCTGGAGCAAAAGGGCAGGCACAGCAAAAAGTATCAATTTAAGGTGAAGCGTTCCACTGGCTGCTGCACCAGACATAACAGCAAAGAAGATGCCATCTCTGAGCTGTATATATCCAATAGAATATAAAGCAACATAGATGGACTTCTTATCTTAACACATCATGTCATAATATCATAAAATTGTTATACCTGCCCAAGTTCATAGACAAGATTGAAAATCTCAGTCTGCCTCAGTGTTCATGTAAATTGTATGTATTAATTGTCGTACATATGAAGACTTGTCCTAATAAAAAAAAACTTACTAACAGCCCATGTTAAAAGTGTTAAGATAAAATAAGAGAATAGGTAAAGGAGCCAATGTCACTAATTTGTGTTTGGTATAATCATATATTTTTCAATTTACTGCAGTTGTTGCATTAGTCTGGTGACAACTTGATACTTAAATACAACATACCAGAGTCATGTTCAATATAACTGAGTCACTAGTAAACTGAATAATATATCAATGAATCAGACACCTGATCATGGCATATCAATGATGCTTTCCTAATAAGGATTTACCCTCATAACATACGCGGATCTAGCATAACATTTCAAAACCTTTCCATGTTAATAAGTCAAAATAAAAATGTCACTATGTTTTTACATATATATCTAAACCGTCAAGATGATTATTGTGATAGGGATTTCCTTGTGCATGTGTATTCTAGGAAGTAGGTCATGTCACCAGCCAAGGGAGACAAATTGACAACATTGACACACCTGTACCGGTAAAACTCACAGGTGTGTCTTGAAACCCAACCTAAATTACAATACGGTGTCTTACACTTGTGCTTGAAAACCCTCACATATGTTCAACTATGTTGCAATACATGTTACAGATCGTACAACCAACACACTACCACTTCCAAATTGTTTTCTCAGGTAAAAAGGGGCGGCCATCTTGGAAAATTTGTTGACGAATTGTGACACCTGAGAATTTACCTGTACATCAAAACTTAACTTTGAGCTCATGTACGCAGTGTACTTTCCAACACCAGCCAATATTTCTAGTAAATGAATTATTTTCCATATAAAAATCATGCACAAAGCGCTTATTTACCTCGTTTGGTTGGCTTAGTTCAAATAGATCGTAGTGGTCCTGATTCCACTGGGTAATAAGAGTTGAGAGCCGCTGTCTCTCCTTTGCCTTCTCTGCCGCATTCATAATGGCAGGTATTTATCCATGAAATAATTGTAGAAACAAAACAATATTACATCCGATTGTCACCTCATATCAAGTGGTGTTTTCCCCTCGAATCACTATATACACTTCAGCTGCTTCCGTATTGCTAGGAGAAGCTTTCAAACGGATTCTACGATATTCTGGTACTCCGCGCATGCGCCACACCCACGTTTGATATGTAAATTGTCCAAGGTGCCCGCACCCTTGCGTTATCAGGGGTCGTCTCACAGGTGAAACGGAACTAGAATAAAATAGGCCGAAGGGATGTAACTCGAACAAAACCACCCATATTGTGTTAGGAAATCAACTCACAAAGATACCGCTTCATAACCCAGAATTTATTTTTAAGATCTAGGAAAGAATATATTTAATCCAATGAAATGGTTTGTTTTACAGAACAGTGACGAATAAAACTTGATATCATGTTGATAATGATCCAGTATACTTGTGGTAACATTTATTTGTTAATATCCGTGCTGCTGTTGTTGAGTTATCACTTCCCATCCCAGCATACAAGTTCTATTTTACGTAATTCCCATAGACACAGTGTTAAATTTGGCCGTAAAACATGTATCAACAAATTAACTTATTATGGTTATAATTCTGTGGTAATTATAAATACAACTCCCTCCACGCAGAGATATAATTCATATAAAAAGTTGTATATACGTCTCTGCTCCGTATTGAAGCCATCCTGGTCTATGTTGAGTATAACATATAGATATAAACTGGATTAATAATGGAATCGCTAGATAATCATTTATCTGTGTGCGGGGTTTTTTTTACTAAAAAAGGAAGTCAGATTTTTTTATCGAAAAGTAAATTGACAGATAATCTTATGGGTAAAATGAGGTAACGTGAAAGACTTTTGACACGTCACTGTAGGGACAGTATATAGAGTTATAATTTATACGTCACTAGTCACTGGTCACTGGAAGTTATTTGAAGACAGCGTCAAATGATTCTTTATATATAACAAGAGAAACAGGAAATATATTATATAAACAGAGAACTCCCCACTCGTTTAAGGACTGTTCAATGACACGTCACGAGTCGAGTATGATTTGGATCCTGTCCGAAGACAGTACCTTAAATAAAGGGTTTATGTCTGTCTAAGGTAATGTTTTTGTTGAATTTAGTTGAATTTCACAATTGAAAAACATGTCTTCACATTCTAATGCGCGACACTAACGATGAAGGTTTTGGCTTCCGGGACAGGGTTTTTTCATCCAGCCCACTTCTATTTCTAGATCATGATATTCTATGTTGAGGAATAGCTAATTACATTTCGGTTGTTTCGACTTTGATTTTAATTTGCTGATCTGCTTTTTACAGGGCTATGAGGTGCAAGTATCATGCAGGTTTATAATCACGACCACATTATCATTTGTACCATTTTCATTTAAAGATCTATAAACTGCGGGAGATTCTTGAATAAGAGTTTTCATCATGAATTATTCTAATTAATAACAGCTCTGGTATATTTTCCATGGTTTCTTGAGCCTCTATATTAAAATCGTCATTATTTTACTTCATATAACTGTGTGCGAGTGGGGTTTTAAACCTACCGTTTGGTTATCACATTTTGTGTGCAATTCTTTTGTTTGTGTTAACCATCGTATTGCATTGCCACTCTATAACACTACCACATGCAGTTGGCATTCATATCAGCTATGAAGGTCATGACATGAGTGACGTCGTTATCATTATGACGCCATACACATCGGACACCGCTTACCCTCCCTGGACAAATGGCTATTCTACTCATTTAAAAAGCACATAGCTATACAATAAATACATAAATTAAACTAAACACTTAACTTTGATTAGTGTAATCACGGAATTAGATTATCTAAGTCCGTGGTGTAATTTAATTTACTATGGGATACAAAAAAAACATCCTAAAATGGAAACCATAAGTTTTGAGCTTTCAGTTGGCATATATAGACAAATGCGTTCATTTTTAGTTACTGAGTACTTCTCTAACTAAATCTACGTGACCAGCACTGAAGGAGAGTTTCAGTCTAGGGTTAGTGGCAGTGGCGACGTCGACGATACCGATAATAGAATTCCTGTGTTACACAGAGCACAGTTTTGTTTTAGACATTCTTCAATGTTACTAACACAAGAGGACACAACTCCTGTCCATTTTAATATTAAGTACTGTCATCATCATACATAGTCACAAAACATCGTTGTCCCTATCCATATTTTTATCTTTCGGGAGACCTCCATTAATTCGCCCAAATAAGCATGGTTCAGACGATCATAGCCTTGTTACAGTCGAATAGGCTCCACTTGCCAAAGGTCGTTACTCCTACATGGTACATAAAAGGCTTTTACTACTTGTCACTGGAATGTTCCTCATAGAGTTTTCAATAATTCTAGTTTTGGTAATCATATGTTGTCACGAATTGAATCCTCTTATATCGTTATTAAGTACGTTTTTAAGTTTTAAGTAAAATTACACGTTTGGATTAAATTTTCGAAAATCTTCCAATACTTTGTTCTTCATTCCATATAAACGAATTAATGACAAAATAACACGAATCGTCTTGCTTGCTCAGAATAACAAAAACTGTCTAAATTATGTGAATATACCAGTAGCAAGAGCTGTCCGGATTACTGGTGTCTAGAACAAATTGAACTGTCTGGATTACTGTTGTCTATATCAACTTGAACTGTCCGGATTACTGTTGTCTATATCAACTTGAACTGTCCGGATTACTGGTGTCTAGAACAAATTGAACTGTCTGAATTACTGTTGTCTATATCAACTTGAACTGTCCGGATTACTGGTGTTTATATCAACTTGAACTTTCCGGATTACTGGTGTCTATATCATCTTGAACTTTCCGGATTACTGGTGTCTAGATCAAATTGAACTGTCCGGATTACTGTTGTCTATATCAACTTGACCTGTCCGGATTACTGGCGTCTATATCAACTTGAACTGTCCGGATAACTGGTGTCTAGAACAAATTGAACTGTCTGGTTTACTGTTGTCTATATCAACTTGAACTTTCCGGATTACTGGTGTCTAGAACAAATTGAACTGTCTGAATTACTGTTGTCTATCTCAACTTGAACTGTCCGGATTACTGTTGTCTATATCAAAATAAACTGTCCGGATTACTGTTGTCAATATCAACTCGAACTGTCCGGATTACTGTTGTCTATATCAAATTGAACTTTCCGGATTACTGGTGTCTATATCAAATTGAACTTACCGGATTACTGGTGTCTATATCAACTTGACCTTTCCGGATTACTGGTGTCTATATCATCTTGAACTTTCCGGATTACTGGTGTCTAGATCAAATTGAACCGTCCGGATTACTGTTGTCTATATCAAATTGAACTTTCCGGATTACTGGTGTCTATATCATCTTGAACTTTCCGGATTACTGGTGTCTAGAACAAATTGAACTGTCTGAATTACTGTTGTCTATATCAACTTGAAATGTCCGGATTACTGGTGTCTATATCAACTTGAACTGTCCGGATTACTGTTGTCAATATCAAATTCAACTTTTCGGATTACTGGTGTCTAGATCAAATTGAACCGTCCGGATTACTGGTGTCTATATAAAAATAAACTGTCCGGATTACTGTTGTCTTTATCAAATTGAACTGTCCGGATTACTGTTGTCTATATCAACTTGAACTGTCCGGATTACTGTTGTCAATATCAAATTGAACTTTCCGGATTACTGGTGTCTAGATCAAATTGAACTGTCCGGATTACTGGTGTCTATATCAAAATGAACTGTCCGGATTACTGTTGTCAATATCAAATTGAACTGTCCGGATTACTGGTGTCTATATCAACTTGAACTGTCCGGATTACTGTTGTCAATATCAAATTGAACTTTCCGGATTACTGGTGTCTAGATCAAATTGAACTGTCCGGATTACTGGTGTCTATATCAAAATGAACTGTCCGGATTACTGTTGTCAATATCAAATTGAACTGTCCGGATTACTGGTGTCTATATCAACTTGAACTGTCCGGATTACTGTTGTCAATATCAAATTGAACTTTCCGGATTACTGGTGTCTAGATCAAATTGAACTGTCCGGATTACTGGTGTCTATATCAAAATGAACTGTCCGGATTACTGTTGTCAATATCAAATTGAACTGTCCGGATTACTGGTGTCTATATCAACTTGAACTGTCCGGATTACTGTTGTCTATATCAACTTGAACTTTCCGGATTACTGGTGTCTATATCAAATTGAACTGTCCGGATTACTGGTGTCTATATCAAAATGAACTGTCCGGATTACTGTTGTCAATATCAACTTGAACTGTCCGGATTACTGGTGTCTATATCAACTTGAACTGTCCGGATTACTGGTGTCTATATCAACTTGAACTGTCCGGATTACTGGTGTCTATATCAAAATGAACT